AGAGAGGGCAGAGAGAGAGAAAGAGAAAAAGAGAAAGAGATTATCTTTAAGAGAATATCTTTACATGCTGGGTCATTGCACAAGTCTCAGCTGCCTCTCCCTCCTACCTCCTTCTTTTGTCTTCCACAGGGCCTGTGTGGCCGGCTTCACAAATATTACCTTTAATCCTCAAAATCGGGGCCTCATAGATGGAGCCAACAGCTATGTGACCTTCAGTAACTATTCTGATGCCGTTTTCTTGCCCCAGGATCCAGGTAGGAGAAAAACAATAGTGCCCTTTGCAGTTCAGTGAGATTTTGCTTGAATTTGTGCACAGAGGACCCTGCATCATCTGTATTCTCCCCAGGGCCCCAGCAGAGCTCCCCCTCTTGGAAGCTGAGATGCCATTTGATTTCTTTGGCTTAGTTCTTGGTTCTCTCTGGAGGCTGTGGACAACACTCTTTGCTCCTCACCACACTGCACGTCTCTACATTTCTGTTGCCCTTAACAATCCGCAAAAATCCAGTTTAGCCCATTTATTTCAGTGCGGTCATTCTTGTGCCCATGTGCCAGGTGCATCTGTGAGTTTAGTGCACGGAATCCTGGGCGGCACTGTCTTCCTATGCAAACCCCTCCTCAGGTACCAGCTGTTTGGACTTTCTTTCCCCAGGTGTCATCTGTGGAGCAGTGTTTGGCTGTATCTTTGGTGCCCTGGTTATTGTGGCTGTGGGAGGCTTCATCTTCTGGAGGAAGAAAAGGTGACTGTGGTTGCTTACTTCTATTCAACTTATTGAGAAAGAAAAAACAGCTGTTGCCATGATCGTTCCGACTCATAGTGGCTCCTTTGTGGGTCAGAGCAGGACTGCACTCTGTAAGGTTTTCGGTGGCTCAGTTTTTGGCAAGTTGATCACCAGGCTTTTCTTCAGAGATGTCTCTGCCTGGGCTTGAACCACCATCCTTTTATTTAGCAGTTATACATGTTATCTTTGCACTACTCAGGGACTTCATGTTAATAATATTGCCCTGTTTTTTTTAAGTTGAGGATCTCTTATTTTTTACATAGGTGTATTATCCCCCCCCTTTTTTTTTAAAAAAAGTAACCTTTTCAGTGTAGATTCAGGTGTATCTTCCGTTACTGGAAAAGGATCCTGCACATTGCAACAGGCAAAAACAAAACAAAACAAAACACACATCCCACAAACCTTTTAGGGAATACAGTATTTTAAGCCGAATCATTGTAAATTTATAGTTTCCGTGAGTTCTTCATTGAAAAGTGGGGTGGGGAAGCAGAAGGAAAAAAACAGAACTTCCAAAAACTAGACTATAATAATCTCAGTGAGACTGACAGTATGCTGTGTTTTTCCCCCCCTCTTTAAACAGGTCCTCTGTAGGTTCAAGTGCTCCTTGTGGAAGCTTTTGAATACCTTAGTAATTTTCTTTACACTAAATCAGTCTTTACTCAAGCTCTCTGAAGCATATTAAGGAACCTCAGTTACGCAAAATAACCCTATGAAGCCACAAAGGAAGAGAAACATTTCTTCCAGACATATTAAAGAGCTGCAACTCAGACACACTATTAAGATTAAAATAGTGCCCTACTTTTAAAGCAGCTTTTTAATTATGAAAAATTTTAAACATTTCTTAGTGTTGTTGTTGCTAGTTATCACTGAGTCGAAAATGGCTCATAGCGACCCTGTGAACAGCAGATCTGAACTCCATCCTGTCCTGCATCATTTTCACACGTCCCGACACACTAGAGCCCATTGCAGCCATCACCATGTCAGTCTGCTTGGTTGAGGGTCTTCCTCCCCCTTGCTGACCCTCTGCCCTTCTAAGCATCCTGTCCCTCTCCCAGGAAGAGCACTTCCTAGCAACATGCCTGAAGTTTGTGAGGTGAAGCCTCTTAATTCTTGCCTCCAAGAGTACTCTGGTTGCACCCTTTCCAAGACATATTTACTGTGTTTGTGTCTAATAAAATTTTTTCCTCAAAGTAGCAGTAGTAATATAATGAACCCCTTATTTCTGAAATTAAACCACACGTTATTAAATCATCGATGAATTAAGGAAGAAATCAACAGAGAAATGGCACATTTCTTAGAGTCAAATGAAAGTGAAGGCATAGCATATAGGATACAGCAAAAGCAGTGCTCAGAGGAACACTGATAGCAGTAAATGTGTACATGAAAAAAGAAGATCTCAGACCAGTTATTTGACAGCATGTGGAAACTGGAATGAGTAGCACAAACTAAGCCTTAAGCAACCATAGGAAAGGGAATGATAAAGATCAGAGCAGAAAGAAATAAGCAATTGAAAACAGAAAAACTACATATATATAGCAATGTGTAATGCTGGTGAAAGGGGGAAAACACAGAATGAATCTTTTCCATTTTTTGTCTTAATGGATCTTTTCCTTTCAAACAGGAAAGATGCAAAGAACAATGAAGTGTCCTTTTCTCAAATTAAGTAAGTCTCTGAGAGTTTTATTTTAAGATACTCAGTGCCTCCATATGTTCAGTGACTGGAGAATTTTTGATGGCACTTGCTGTCATTCCCCACCCCCCATCACTTCTCTTGATTGACATAGTCAGCCACAGTCATCTAGAAGTTGTTGCTTTGTTATTCTGCAAAGAATTTAGATTTTATTTGTTTTCCTGATGCTGATTTCTTTTTTCATATGCTACTGAAAAGTGTATTTTTCTGATAGGTGTTTTTTTTTTAAAAAAAAGTAAATGACTTATCAAGATAGAAGAACCTATATTGTATAAAACCATCAGAATGAGTATAAGGATCCAAGAGGGGTGGGAGAGGGTGGAAGCAGAGGGATGTGGATGTGCAGGGGGAGGAGGGATTAATCATGGGGTTGTATGATCTGATGATGGTGGGGTGAGCGAAATGGAAAGAATTTGTTCTTAAAGAACAATGTATTCAAATTTTCTGAATAAACTAGTAGAACAAAAAAAGAAGAACTTAAAATTATAAAGCCAGTTGCTTACATAGTTCAATCTAGATATGGGCTCTCCTATGTATCAGTGTTTTGTAAATAATACTAGGGTGACTTCTTCTGCCTCCCAGCCCTACCTCAGATTATATGCTGAGTTTTGTTCTCTTGGGGAGCTATTTACTGTTATCTCAAGGGTCATGACTGAGTCAGTATTTCTAATTTTTTCTTTTTTTTTCTTTTCTATGATAAAGGCCTAAAAAGTAAGTAGAAAAAAAATTTTAAAACAACTTGAGTTTTTCTATTTTAATATGAATGTTAATGGAATGTAAAAACCAAATCTTCTGTTTTATTAGATCCAAGTTAATCAGAGTAGAGAATTTTGAAGCTTACTTTAAGAAACAGCAAGCTGACTCCAACTGTGGGTTTGCAGAAGAATATGAGGTCAGTGTTGATTAGTTGTGTTTGTTTTCTTAAATGCTTTATGGTGTGTTTTTCTTGAAAGTTGGAACCCCCCCCCCCCATTTTGCTTTTAATGATGAAGTTTTGCATAAGGGGAAGGTGAGCATGTCTGTTATGATTCTAGTGATGGAGGTTGGTTTCAGTTTCTGTCAGGTTGGTTCTGACCCAACATCTAACTGCGAGAGCAGCATATGAGCTGGCAGTATGCCAGGGCTCTTTGGGGCTCAGGGCTAGATGGCTGTGTCATTGGTTTTGACCCATGAGGAGTCCATGAAGCCCTGGAGGAGGTATTCCTAGCCCTTTCCTGCTTTTCAGTGCATCATGTACTCTTCCCCTAGCCAGCCTGGAATGACCCTGATCAGAATCGGCTATGCATTCTTTTCCTACACGGACTGCCCTGCTGCCCTGCTGTGACATCTTTGTCTTTGCTACAGTGCTGCTTACCCCTTTGTATTAGTTTCCTATGGCGGCTGTAACAAACTACCACAAATCTAGTGATTAAAACAACAGACGTTTACCCTCTCATGATTCTGAAGGTCAAAAGCTAGAAACCCTCTTCTGATTAGGATAAGCTGTTATTTGATTCAAAGATGACTTCAAGGATAGTTTTGATTCAGGGTTTAAAGATGTCCCCAGGGTAATAACAAGGGATCATCAAGCTTCAGTGGCTTCAGAAATTCTGGACTTGACAAGAATATGAAATTCTGTTTGGTAGTTGCCTCCCTTCCAATTCTAGGCTCATGGTAAAGGAGAATTTATGCAGTTATATATATATAATATATACCTTCCACTGATTTTTAATCCACTTTTCCCTCTGATGTTCCCAGTGACCAATTATTGTCCCTTTGATGTAGCACTGAGTGTTTTAAGATCCAAGGAACCACACAATGAACTTGGAGGTTGAACAAACTCATCAGAATACGTATTAGGGCCAACCAACAGAATATTCAGTAAAACTGTGACCTTAAGCCTCTGCACTGATTTTATTTCTTTTAACTTCTGCATTTCATTTGTTCTGTCACATCCTGTGCTCAGTAAATAATATCTAAAGACTAAATAAACAACTTGCTGCTTTTGTCTCTAGGACCTGAAGCTGGTTGGCATTAGTCAGCCTAAATATGCAGCCGAACTGGCTGAGAACAGAGGAAAGAACCGCTACAACAATGTTCTTCCCTGTAAGTTCTTTTATCTGTATCATCTTCCTTTTCTTCCATAATGATTGCATCTCTAGAAGTAAGGAGGGAATATGCAGTCAGGTCTATAGAATGTCAAGTGATAACGGAAGCCTGGTATTAACATTTTTATACTTCTTTTATTTTTCACGTGGGCAACTTTCCTAAAATGTTTGCTTCTGATGAGTTTCATTTCTCTTGATGTTACAGATGACATTTCCCGAGTCAAACTTTCAGTTCAGACCCAATCAACCGATGACTACATCAATGCAAACTACATGCCTGTAAGTGGGGGCAGGTTCCTCTGCAGCATTGATGTGTTATCGTAAAATTTTCAGAGATCCACTTGGTTTATGGTTTTTTTGGACTAATACGTACTGCTTTCCATATTTAGGGCTACCATTCCAAGAGGGATTTTATTGCCACACAGGGACCTTTGCCCAACACTTTGAAAGATTTTTGGCGTATGGTTTGGGAGAAAAATGTATATGCCATCATTATGTTGACCAAATGTGTTGAACAAGGAAGGGTAAGTATCCTAAACCTATGTCGTCGTCTTTTATCTATCAAAAAAAAAAAAACAACACAAAAAAAACCAAACAAAACCCCAAAACAAAACAAAACCAAAAACCCACATTGCCTTCCCTGTGCTTTTCTGGTATTGCAGTGAAGCTTCTTGCCATTTTTATTTAATTATTTTTATTATTTTGTGTGTCTGTACCGTCAAATTGGATCTGAGTGTACAGGAGAGATTGCCCCTCTTTCTCCAGCAGAGCATCTGGTGGATTCAAACCACATACCTCTGGGATTGCAGTGCAGCTTCTTGCCACTAGGCCACCAGAGCTCCCTCCTCCCTGTGCTTTTGCAACACAGAGGGATGGAGTTCTGTATTCCTTTTGGGCTTTGGGAAAACAAACTTATTATGAAAATAGAGGGAAGGCACTTTGTCAGCATTTGCATTTCTGTTCTTAGAAACTTCTCTGCTATCTGTATTTTTTTCTGTTTAAAAATGTCTACTATGTGTCCTCTTTTTGTGTGGGCAAATAGCAATCTCTCTACTCAAGAAATTGCTGCAGTTGGAGTTTTTTAACAAGAGTTAAGTGAGCACAGTGGAAAAACCTTCCAGGTTTAGAGGAAGAAAACGTATCTCACGATCCAGCTCCATCCCTTTTTGTGGTCTGAGCACACACAAGCTCCTTTTGTGTCTAAGTCCCCAGCTGCTTCATCTGTGATGGAAGAAATGGAACCAACCTGGTGATGTTTGAATTTCATAGAAATCTATGGCTCACCCCCAGTTAAATTTCAGCCACCTCTTCTGCCTCTGTGATCACCTACCATTTCCATCAACTTTCCTAGTCAATTTCCACGTTTCCGTAAATGAATGAAAGGAGAATTGAAAAACATGTGCTGATTTTGAGAATTTTGTGCCTGCAGAATGGGACCCAAAGTTGCTTGGTGTTCCTCCCCTCCCCATGCAAGCTCATTACTTAAGGAATGGAATAGGTGTGTCCCTTCTTTAAACCAGCAGTTCACAAATTTCAGTATGCGCTAGAATGACATAGAGAGTGGTTTCACCTTCCCAAAGCCTCTAATCCAGAGGGTCTGGCACGGAGACTGAGAATTGCATTGGTGGCAATCCCCAGGAAGTGCTGATGGTGTTGGCCTCCGTCCCACCCTTCCCCTAGGTGATGATGAGCACCTGGCAGGCATCCTTTCCTATAATGTTCTCTAATTCCCCTCCACTGAGCAGGTGTTGTAGAGACCCAAGTGCATGCCTGTGCCAGTGGCTACATAAGAAGGAGATAACAGCGAAGGATAACTTCAGCAGCGGGTGGACACCCAGCCTGGACTGTGGGGATGCTGCAGGATCAGGATCCTGATGTATTCTGAGCTATTGTATATTGGGTCACTGTGAGTCGTGCCTCCTAGCAACAACAACAATAAAAGATGGTGCCCGTCTTTGTGTGGCTTTTGCAACACAGAGGAATGAGGTTCTGGATTCCTTTTGGGCTTTGGGAAAGGAAGCTATTAGAAAAATAAAGGGAATTGCTTTTTAAAAAAATTTTTTTTATCTTCTACTAGTTTGGGACAATGGGAGTGGGTGTGCCAGAGACAGTGAGGTTGGCACAGGATAGAGCAGGATTTAGGGCTCTTGTAAATAGGACCGCTGTGAGACTTGACAACACATAACAACATAACAACAACAGCAACAACAACTAGTTTATTTACAAAATTTGAAATGGAAATATTGAACATTGAAAATTCTTTCAATTGCTTTTTGAATGCAAATCAGCTTTATGGTGCTGTTGAAAACATGGAAGAAACAAATAATTGTCTGTTAAACAAATGAAAATGACATGTTGAAATACATAGAAGACACAAAGATCCACTTAGATGGGCCACCAGTTTGTCTTAAGTCAGCATGGATGTGGTTGTTGCTGACGCCAAGTGGAAAGAGAGGAAGTGCTAAAACACTGTGAGGAACTATCCTGCAGACGGGGAAGCTAAAGCTCCGAGGAGTAAGACCAAGAATCCAGTCAACAGGAATCTGAGCTGGCGATGAACTTAAGTTCTTACGAGGTTTTTTCCTGAAATAGTGGTCCAGAAATGGGGCCCATTTACAAAATGCAGATGAGTGGGCCAGTGTCAGAACCTCTGCAGGTGGAGTCCAGGCATTGTTTTTTTTTTTTAAATTTTTTTATTATTATTTTAGTGTGTGTGTGTGTGTGTGTGTGTACACGTACCGTCAAATCGGATCTGACTGGTACAGGAGGAGATTGTCCCTCCTTTCCCGGCAGAGCATCTGGTGGATTTGAACCGTTGACCTCTGGGATTGCAGTGCAGCTTCTTGCCACTTGTTTTTTGTTTTTCTTTTTTTAAAGTAAAATTGTTTTATTTTGGCTAAGAGACTTGAAACTGAAGTGCAAAAAATATATCTTAAAAAAACCTAGACATTTTAAACAAAATATTGACATTATGTAAATACACAAAACAAATAGATAAGTATTATTATATATAGAGAAATACTAAAATTAGAAATGGAGTACAATTTCTTACATAGATTATAACATGAAATCTTAAGATTTTGACCTCAAGTAATACCAATGTTGTTTTTATCATTTTCATGTATATTCTTTTACTATTAATTTTAATGAATGTTAACAAAGACTTTGGATTTCCATTCATTCCTTGTTGCCTTTTTCTCCCTGCCGAAATAAAACAAACCTCACAGCTGAGTCAGGTAATCACTGAGGTTTGAAAACACCGCAATAAGACAGCCTACCCTAAAAAGTTAGGATCTCTGATTTTTTTAAAGTGATTTTTAAAGGTCAGTTGCCAAATAAGAGTTAAGATATTCTGAGAGTGCAACAAAAAACTTAGCCTTTTAAATTTCTATTCACACTTGAGTGCTGATTTATGGAATCAGAGCCTCCAGCGTGGCGTAGTTCGAGCCCCTTTACTGACGGTTTCATGGGCCTGATTGTGGTGAGTGTGTGTCTTGCAGTACTGAGAGGTTCTTGCTTCTCCCATTTGCTTGGGATTGTGAGTCAGTGAGCTAACGGTTGTGGAGTCACGGCCCTGGCAGCAAGGCCCTGGTTCCACATGATGGGGCAGCTGCCCTGGATTAAATCTAAATTGGTGTCCATGTAGAAATCTGGGCCCAGAGTTGTCAGATCTGATTTTTCCAGAAAACTAGAAATAGTTTTTTTTAGTTATAAAATCTCGTAGGGAGCTCTGGTGGCCTAGTAGCAAGAAGTTGCACTACAATCCATGAGTACGTAGTTTGACTCCACCAGCAGCTCTGTGGGAAAAGGATGCTCAGTCTCCTCCTGTGTGATTAATTGCCTCTGAAAACCTGCTGGAGGGTCAGCTTTGGGCCAGTACTTGACAGTACATGACAACAAACACAAATCTCTTAGGTTTTTTTTTTAATTATTAAATTTTATTAGTTTTAATGAACATTTACAGAGATTTTGGGTTTTCATTCATTCATTGTTGCGCTGTTTTCTCCACCCTCCTCCCCAGTTCGTTCTTCTTCCCCCCCCAATGTCTGTTTTAATTGTCCAATTGCCACAGTGCTTGTCAAAGCCAGTTCTGATTAATCTCACAATCTCTTAGTTTTAAAGAAAGTTACCAAGCATTATAAATCAAAACTCTAACGGTTCTAAGGATCACACACGGAGTGCTATCTTGTGTACCTCCAGTCCCCTTGTATGTACATGCAAATTAGGTGATGGCTAAGGAAGACTAAAGAGGAATTGATGCCTTTGAAGCGCATTGTTAAGGACGGTTGACTAGCTCATGAACAGACACATTTTTTAAGGAAGAAGTATAGCCAGAATGTCCCTTAGAAGTGTGGGTGGTGAGACTTTTTTCTCACATACTTTGGACATGTTATCTGGAGGGGCCAGCCCTGGAAAAGGCCAACATGCAAGAGAACTCTTGCCAACTTGCCAAGACAGATAATGCAATGGCTCACATATAATAATGTATTTGAGTTTTAGAAAGAAACTAGTAAATAATAATAATAATAATAATAATAATTAAACGACAACAAAGTATAAAGAAGAAAAAAACCCCTCAAAAAACCAAAAATACAAAAAACCCAAATAAACAAAATCCCCCAAAACACCCAAAACCAATGGTTGTAAGGCTGGCACAGGACCCAGATGGTGTTTTGTGCTGTTGGACGTGAGATTGTTTTGAGTTGGAACTGATTCGATGGCACCTAACACAAGAGCACCACCAACAAGGGGCTGACTGAGACCGGTTTTTCAATATTTAGCCCATTTCGTGACATGTTAGAGTAGGGTAGATTGCACGGCCTATCTATCTCTATAAAATTATAATTTTCTTCTAGACCAAATGTGAAGAATACTGGCCCTCCAAGAAGATTCAGGACTATGGGGACATAACTGTGGCAATGGCATCAGAAATCATCCTTCCAGAATGGACCATTAGAGATTTCACAGTCAAAAACGTAAGAAGCCAAGCTGGCTTAATCCTTTATGTTGGTAGTGGTCATTGATAGAGTTCTGACTCCCAGTGACCCCTGTGTATCACAGAGTGGACCTGTGTTCCTGGGGTGTTCACTGCCTATGGGAAGCAGGTCCCCAGGCCTTTGCTTCTAGGTCGTCACTAGGTCGGTTTGAACTTCCAACCTTTAGGTTTATGAACATGGCTTGACTTGGGGTTTTTCTTACTGTCCACTTCCAGCTGACATGCCCACAGACTTCTCATTACAAACCACGGCCCTTGGTGAGCACACTGGTGAGCCGTGTGGCATCAGAAATGGCCCTTTGCTTGTGGGGGGAGTTGATGGTAACAGTGCCATTAAGTGGATTTCCAGTTATGGGCATATGGCCATCTTTCTCCTTAGAAGTTACTGAAATAAGCCAGGTAAATGATGTAGGCATTCTAGGAAGTCAGGCTGTGTATGTGGGGAGTTGTCTTTAATCTTCTTTTTCTAAGAGTGTTTGAATATAGAAACAATAGAAACAGGGCCACAAAGTCATGGCCCGTTTCAGGGCACTGGTGTTGTGTATCTTATGATGGGCACGCAGCCCACGTATACTCCACCGTGGAGTCGTTCAGCTTCCTTTCATTGCTCATGTGCAGTTCAGCAGTGAGCTCCTTCTTGACTTCACTTGTTGTGATGTGTCAGGCAGTCCTTTGTTCTGACTGAAATCTCTCTCCTTGGCCTGTAGATCCAGACAAGCGAGAGTCACCCTCTGCGACAGTTCCATTTTACCTCCTGGCCAGACCACGGCGTGCCTGACACCACTGACCTGCTCATCAACTTCCGGTACCTGGTTCGTGACTACATGAAGCAGAGTCCCCCGGAGTCACCTATTCTGGTGCATTGCAGGTGTGCAAATGACACTCAATGTGTGTGTATGTTGTTTTGAAGTGACAGATTGAACATGTAAGAAATAATGTAAATATATTTATGGGCGTGTTACAGGAGAAGGACGGACAGTCTCCTCCTGTGCGATTAATTGCCTCTGAAAACCTGCTGGAGGGTCAGCCATGGGTCGCTTCTGACTCTGGTACCCAGCAACACAATGACATTGGCATGCTAGAAGAACAAGGAATAAGGGAATTGAATAGGCATTTACAAATATAAGAAAGATGCAGATAAAGGAGGGGGCAGCGGTGGCTCAGTGGTAGAATTCTCCCCTTCCATGCAGGAGAGGAGCCCACAATCTGCTGTAGCTGGTTTACAAAGGGAGATAATATATCTGCACAGGGGAAAGTGAGGGGATAGATGCACCCCACTTGACCTGCTTATTTCCTGTCTTTCAGCGCTGGGGTTGGACGGACAGGCACGTTCATTGCCATTGATCGTCTCATCTACCAGATGGAAAATGAGAACACTGTGGATGTGTATGGGATTGTGTATGACCTTCGAATGCACAGGCCTTTAATGGTGCAAACGGAGGTGAGCCAGATCTGGGTCCAGTGATCAGTCCCTCCTTCCCACCCATTCCCCAAAGCTTGCGTCCTTTCACATGCGTGTGCTGAAGCGTTTTACCTTTCCAGACCTTTCTGGCTCTTGACTGTGAGGTAACATGGAATGGATTTTAGAAACCCTGAATTGACTTCAAACAGAATTATCATATGCATAAGAGATACTCGGGGCTCAGTGGTAGAATCCTCCCTGTTCACGTGTGAGATTAGGTTCCCTTCTTGGCCAGTGTACCTTCATGCACAGCCACGATCCATCTGACAGGGAAGGCTTTTACGTAGGTGTGATGCCAAATTTCAGATTTCAGATTTCAGCAGAACTTCCCCACTAAGAGTTGGAAGAAAGCCTGGCAAGCTCTGAAAATCAGCCAGTGAAAATCCTGTGAACAAATGCAGTCCAGTCCGAAGCCCATTGAGCTGGCAGAGGGTGTGCAGGGTTTCGTCCAATTGTGCATGAAGGGTCCCTGGGTTAGGGCTGATTGGAGGCAGCCGGCATCACCACCAGCACTCAGGGATGTAGTAATAGTGCTGTCCGTAAAGGAGCAACAATCCGCGATACTATCAGGATCCTTGAACTTCAGCCACCGGCTGACTGGATTTTAGCACCCCTCTGAACTTTGATTTTCTAGTTTAGACTTCCAGGATTGGCGTTGTCACTTTCTGTTTTTAAGTTCTGTTGTTGTTGTTAAGTGCCGTGACCCTATGAATGAAAGGCCTGAGCACTGTTCATAGTTTCTGGAGGCAAGCCATTTCAGAAGTGGACGCCACTCCTGCTTCCAAGCTTGTTTTAATTGGGGAGCTCCACCAAATACTGTCCACCATGGGTAGCCATGATCACATTTGACACATCAGTGTCACAGTGTTCAGCATCACAGCGACTATGAGTTACCTCTGTACAGCAAGTGGACAGACCAGTGCTATACCACCTAGAAGAATGCTTGACAAAAAACAATTTAAACCAGGCCTGAGGGCTGCAGATTAAAATTACCCACATTGGGTTTGGTAGCATAACTTTCTGTCCACTAGGCCAGTGTAGCTCAAACTGGTTTCCAGTGCCATGCTGTCTACCCTTCTGGGCTTTTAAATAGAAGGCCTTATCACAATCACCTCTCTTCCCTTAGCGAATCAACATTCCACTTTACAGCTCCCCTGTCCCAGCCAACAGCTTCAGCTTCTGTAGAACCAGCTCCTGTTGACTTTCAAACTGGTCTCTAGTGCCATCTTTTAAGTTCTAATCATCCTCAAAACAAGTTAATGAAACAGATGTATCGACCACTAACCATGTCACCTGACAAAACAGTAATGGCGCTTTAAGCACTAATCATGTTCTCAACCAGCTTGAATGTTCTATTGGTGTGGAACAGCCACAGCGGAGGAAATGCAGAATGCATGCTCACTGTCCACACTGTCATTTGGGTAAAGCCATTGCACTTGGCCTTCCCGGGAATCCCCCTGATGAGCCGTGTTTGCGACAAGCTAGATTGTAGAACAGCTTTTCACAAAGGTGTAGGGGTTCAGTCTGCCTTGATCAAGTTGAGAGCAAAATAGTAAGTTTGTACCCAGCTGCTACCCCTGTACTTCTTTAGAACTCTCTGAATCTGTACAGTGGTTTTGAGTCTAGAATAGAAAGTTCTAGAGGCCTGAGTGCATTCTCTGGGGTGGTGGGGTGGTGGAGGAAATGTATGGTTATGGTGGAAAGTGTTCACTTCCTTCATTGGTCAGAAGAAAGGTTGTCTTTCTCCCCCCCGCCCGTGCTATAATAATACATAGTAGTGTTTCTCAGAGAAGTCTTGGTGGTGGAGTAACTGAGAATTCGGCTGCTAACCAAAAGATCAGTGGTTTGAACCCACCACCCATTCCTTGGGATAGAGATGTGACAGTCTACTTTTTCTGAAGAATCACAGCTTTGGAATGAAACCATATGGGCAGTTCTACAGCATAGAACATAATCTGTCAGTTTGCTAACAGAAAGCTTGGCAGTTCAAATCCACCAGCTGGTCTGTGGGAGAAAGAGAAAGATTTTCAGCTTTGCGAACCTGTTGGATGGTGACCTTGAGTCAGCATCTCGACATGAGTGAGCATCTCAGCAGCAGTGGGTTTGATCATGGTTTTAACTTAGTTTCTATAGATTTGCATTGATTGGACAGCCACCGGGTTAATGGGGGTGTTTCTCAACCTCTTTAGGGAACTCACTTGAATTTTCCTTTGTATTCTCTTTCCTTGTTCCGTCAGGACCAGTATGTTTTCCTCAATCAGTGTGTGCTGGATATTATCAGATCGCAGAGGGACTCCAAGGTCGACCTCATTTACCAGAACACAACTGCCATGACAATCTATGAAAACATGGCCCCAGCGCCTGTGTTTGGCAAGACCAATGGTTACATAGCTTGATTCCAAAGGAAAACCTCGCTGGAGTTACACAGAGCGTCAACGCCCACAGCCAAGGAAAATGCCCTGCTATTGACGTGTTCTCATTTGTCTGTGATCTTAAATCTTTGTTCTGTTTTGTTCCAACTAATTTTGAGGGCGTGAAGCTGCACGTACATGAGGTGACAGTTGAGAGGTCAGGGCTAGCAGGGTCTGTGGATGGGCAGGGAGCCGATGACCTGTGTTCCTGATTACCAATGGGATGAATTAAATTTCCCCCCCCTTTAAGAATGATGGGAAACTAGGAAAAATGAGCTATACTTTTTTTTTCTCCTTTTCCAAAATAGGTTCTTTTTTAAAAAGACTATTTTATATGATTCACATGGTAAAGCCAGGATTGTGTTGGGTTGAATATATTTTAAGTATCAGAGGTCTATTTTTACCTACTGTATCTTGCAACCTAGCTGATGGCAAGTACATACTTGTGGCTGATTCTCGTGGAGCGAGGGGCACGTGGTCCCCCTTCCACTTGAGTTTTCTATTTGAACATGTGCCTTTTCTGAATTATGCTTCCACGGGCAAACTCAGTAGATATCTCTATTTTTGTATTGAATCTCATGATTGGAATATACTGAATATTTAAAAAGTAGTTTAGCATCCAAGGCTCTGCCTCCTCGGTAACATTCCTGTTCTTGTTTGCTTTGAGGAGGTCTCTTCACACCCCCTTTCCTCCCCATACCTTGTGCTCCATTTTCCTCTCCCCTTTTGGTCCTGATTTCCCCCCAAAGACTCTTCTGTGGGGAATGTCTTCAGCCCAACAGTTGGGTTAAAATGGAAACGAAAATACTGCCTTGCAAGTTTCCGGGGAAAGAAGAGAAACCCTGAGGGGACATAATCTCCTCTGTGTGGACCCTTTTTAAAATCCCTTTCCTCATTTCTGTGCTTGGTTAAGAAGGATTATTTCAAGGTGCAATATGTGACTTAGTGACTCATGATGTGTTCTAGGTTTTTGGTAATGTTTTACTCAGGTTGGCATTTTTGTATGTGTGTCTGTGTGTTTCTCTCTCTGTGTGTGTGTATGTGTGTTTAGAAGTGTGGCAATCTGTGAACACGTTAGTGTGAAAACAGTGTCAAATCAGTCCTCCAAAATTTCACTGGCTTTAGTCTCTCTCTGCAGTGACACGCATTGATATCTACTGTATATATAAACACACACACATACACACACATATACTAAACTCTCAAAACAGTCATTTGTATGAGTCAGAACTGAGGTGTACAAAGTTTGAATTTGTATCAAAGATGTAATAATTATTTTTAAAACCTCTTTTCACTATACTGCTGCTGTAATTACTTTGATTTTTTTTTTTAATGTAGAGTTGATTGTTGGGTTTTTTGTTTTGTTTTGTTTTGTTTTTGTTTTATTTTTTGGCTTCAGGTGTATATCCACCAAGAATTTCAGAATTTCTGTGGATTTATTTTACTGGTACATAATCTGTAGACTTCTCAAAAGGCATTAACAGGAAAGGATTTTTTTTTAATTATTATTTTATATTGTGGCTCAGGTGATATTTTGAAGAAGTTTTGAGTTTATTCTCTAACAGGCAATGAAGTATACGAAGACTTATGAAGGAATAGCCAGTCCCTGGAGTCCTGTGGCCACTTGCCACGGTTATAAATCCTGCTGTAAACTTAGGACAAATGTGTCCTGTTGAGCCTGGGGGAGCAGGGTCTTCTGCAAGTCCTTTGGTCACTGTCGGCCTGTGGGAACCTATCTGATGCTGCCACACTCCCCACCTCACGGGCACTTTGGTCCCCTGTCTGGACAGATAAATGGGTGTGTTAAGAGTCTAAAGAGTGACCCGCACGCAGGATACGCACAGTCCTCGATGCCATTCAGAGGTTTACTGCTGTATGCATCTTGGTCCCCTTTCCTTTCGAGGTACTGAATAGATGAAAAGGAGAGATGGTGAGGTGTTCATAGTTTGGGGGAACCCTCCTTCCCAAGTGGAAATTGCACTTTTTGCTGAATTCTTGGGGTTTTTTGTTTGTTTGTTTTCTTTTGGTAGCAGGCAGTTCATGCAGTATCAGGCTCTTGAAGTACTGTGCTGAGCAGACCAAGAGTCTTCTTATGTCAACTTCAGAGAGAGCTTTGGCTCTGTGCTTCGGAATCAGGGAAGCCACGTGGTCCCAGAGGGGAGAGGGAAGCTGGATTCTGCAGATGAGCCCCCGGCCCTACTCCCACGCAGATCTCTGTGAGATCTTTGACGTTGTTCATGGATCCTGTGGCCCACACCCCCTCCACACTCCAGCTTGTCTGGAAACCACTGGGATGGGTGTCCAGTGTTCCAATCCTGTCCACCTTTCTGTTCTGGAGAGGGCACTTTTGCCTTGCAGGGGATTCAGAGGAAAGGAATTGAGCCCAAAACCCCTCTAGACAGTAAAAGCAACAGTAATTTAAGGATAATGTATTAAAAAAATAATTGACAACCAGAAGAAGCTGGTCTTCTCACCAGAGATGGCTTGTAAGGGCAACAACTTCATCTTGTCACCACTAGAGATCTCCCCAGTGCTGGTAGGAAGGTTTGTTGGGGAAGGGCCTGGAATTGCAATGGACAAGTCACACGGAGGTCATGGTGCCTCTCTGCAGACTGGTGAGGAAGGGGCAGGATCGGTGGGGACAGTGAGAGATGGAGAAGGGAAAACTCACATGCACATATAGAGGGTACATGGAGTGACAGTTGGCCAGAGAAAGGGACATCTGAGCTTCTGCCCCAGACCCCAGCTAAGAACAATGAACTAAAATTCAGGAAGTCCAATGAAATCACATGTGGAAGGTTTTCTCTTCCCTGGTTAGTATTTGGCAATTCTACATAGGAAGGCAAGTGTGGGGTCAGTTGGTGGCAATGACAGGGCTTATGCTTGGTGGCCAACTGATGTGGGGGAGGTGCACCATTGCTGTTTTCTGTCATAAGCAGGGACCCTCATCTCCAGAGGAGAAACTGGTGAGGGACATACGGGGCTGTCCGCTGTGGTGGTGTAGTGACCTCCAGCCAGACTTTGGCGTAATCTCCACTGGATCTGTGTTTTGGCAAGTGACAGGCTCCCAGGGATTGGCGGGAGTTGGTGGAGGTGGGGTCCTCCTGTGCAGCTGAATTGCGTTTCTTTTCAGCTGCTGCAGAAAAGCCTGGTTTTCTTTAAAAATGCTTGATTGCGCTCGTTTAGCTAAACAAGTCTTGGCGATGTTGATTTTTGCCTCAAAAGTCCAAGTTCTGAGTTTTCAGACTACTGTGTAGCAGTTGTGTGTTTAATATACTGTAGCTTTTTTTCTCCCTCGGGGGCACATATGAATAGGAAGTGTTGATGTGGATTCTAAATTGTAATTTTCTTGTAACTATTTTGGAATGATGCATATTTCTAATGTTTGTTATACTTGTACAGAGTATTGCTGTTGGTTGCTTTTTTTTTTTTAAGGAAAAAAATGGCCTGAATAATTTTTTTAAAAAGACTTACAAATACCAAATATTAAAAAAAAAAAACATCAACACGTTATTGCCTTTGTTTCTGGTTTTTATTTCTGTATCGTTTGCCAAAGAGATTACTGAACTATATACAAAGGAAGCATCCTTGACAAAAACACACTTCCTTATCGCATTTTCCACAACTGGGGTGGTGAAATGAAGGGAGATCGATATGAAGTGATGCATGTATCCAACATATGGTTGACTTTGCCAGAGGTGTGCGTGCATCAGCCTTGACTGGGTGCATAACAGAGATTTTTTTTTTGGCTGATGAAATGGGGGAATCCTGGTTGCTTGTAGCACAGTGGTTAAGCATTGGATGGCTGACTCCAACCCATCAACACACTTTCTGGGAGAAAAGACTTAGAGTCTTTCCACTCAAAGGTCTAGAAACCTGATGGGGCAGCTCTCCGGTCCTGGAGGGTCTCTCTGAATAGGAATTGACTTGATGGCACACATGACAACAGCATGGCAATTCGGGAGTCTGGGGGTGCGTGTGGTGGTCACTATGGGTGCCTCTGAGCTGATTCTTATTCGCTGTGACCCTATACAGTGAATGCACTTAAATGCTAAGTAGAACATTGGAAGCTGGAGTTTGTCTGGAAATACCTGGTAATATGCTTTTGAAAAATGCGCACATTTCTATTCTGACACACGTATTGTCGTTGTGAGGTACCATTGAGTTGATTATGACTCATAGTGACCCTGTGAGCGACAGATCTTATGTCCTATCCTGTGCCATCCTCACAATCTCTGACAAACTCAGATCCATTGCTGCAGTCACTGTGTCACTGAGTCAATTCACCTGGGTGAAGGGCTTCCCTCTTTCACTGTCCCTCCACTTTCCCAAGCATGATGTCCTTCTCCAGGGAATAGCCTTTCCTAGCAACAATGCTCAAAGCATGTGAGACTACGCTTTATCATCTTTGCCTCCAAGGAGCACATCGGCTGTACCCTCACCAAGACGTACCATTTTCTTTGTTTTGTTTTGTTTTGATGGTTCAGTACTCTTCTTCAACATGACACTTCAAAGATACCAATCCTTCTTCTGTCATCCTTATTCACTGTCTAGCTCTCAGCAGTATAGAAAGTTACTGAAAAGACCATGGCCTCAATCAAGTGCACCTTAGTCTTAAAACAGATATCGCTGTTCCTCAATAATTTGGCAAGGTTTCTAACTGCAGACTTTCCCAGAGAAATACAGCTCCTGACTGTTGGTGTCAGGTGCATTGATTGTGGATCCAAAAGAGATGAAGCTGTTGATAGTTTCAATCTTTTCTTCATCTACCCTGATGGACGCACACAGGGTTGCCATTAATTGGAATCTGGCAACTGATGCTAGTTTGATAATATAAACAAACCACACCTGACCACATCCCAGTGAATAGAATCAAACTCTGCTTTTGCGTTCACTCCCGCTCACAGCTACCCTATAGAACAGAGTTGAGCTGCCCCCTAGATCTTTCTCCCATGGAGAGAGAGGCTGGAAGGGTCAGATCACAA